AAATAATACGGTTTTGACAGGAAAATGTTCTCAAGGGTTCCCAATTAGCAGTTCATTCGGTTTTTTGGTAAGAGACCATCAGGGCTTGACAGTATAATGGTTCAAAGACAAGAAAACGGGTCCGAGGAAAAAAATATTTGGACGGCCCGTTGAATAGCATTGGTTGATCGGTGTGCTGTACTATGGTACATCCGAGTGATTTCAAAAAGCGAGCCCTACTGGCACGCTTAAAATATTGTGTAGGCTATAGTGTTTGTGTTGTATAGCATCAAAATTGTTTTAAATCCAGATAATCTTTTCTGTCGATGCAAAATAAGAAGTATAGAGCAAAACATGCAACATACAAACCTAAAAATGTAGGCGGATTTTTCATCAAAATTATTGGGAAAAAAACCTAGAAGAGACCAATAAAAGTGTGAAGATACATTGTTACCTACGCACACACACACAAAAAAAACGTACGTAAGGGTTCCTTTTTATGAAAATAACTAGGTTTTCTTAATTTGATGATTTTGGATTTTTGTTTGTTTTATAGCCTTGGTTTCCTATTTTCTTGTGTTTTTTAGTTGATTTTTTCCACTTCAAATATCTCACGATGGATAATCCCGCACTTTTATCGTCCCTAAAGTCCCATCACCTCTCTTAAAACGAGATAATAGAAGAGGTCAGACATGAATTTTTTGGCTAAAACTGCAAAGTTTGATGTTTATTTCGTCACATTTTAAATTTCAAGGGGTGCTCCTAGAGGAAAATTTCCCGAGAAAACCAATGGAACCACTTTTAGAACCTCAAAATTATGTGTAGACAGAGTTATAAGCGTTCAAAGTTTACAACTTTTGTCCGACCTCTCCTATTGATTTGATCCACTGTGCTCCGTCTCTAACCAAGCAAGCCCCGAATGACCGTTGGTTCTCAATTTGTATACCCTGGTAAAAATTGGCAGTAGAATCTGTGTTCCAAAATACCATAGACCTACAGCCGGCTGTAAGATTTCCAATAGCTTCTATAGCCGGCTACACAATTTCTTATAGCCTTTTATAGCCGATGGCGATTAAGCAACAGCCAGGCAATGAAGTGTATGCTAAACGTTACTAATTACGGATGCTAGGACTTAGTAAGTTTTTGGAATACTGCTCTCTTTTTGGGCCGTAGTATCTCGATTTATTTTGCGAGGAAAGCTCCGTACTTTTGATGGATGCCTGCCATTACTAATATATTAGAGCGCCTTCAGTTTCGTATGATACTGTGCAATACCTCTGGTGTGAAATAGTTGCTTCAAGCGCCGTGGCAAGCGGGCAGCCAGCGCGGAACACACATTGGCGCCTACAAACCTAACAGGGATACTTCACGCGTTGCGCAATGCGTGAAGTATCCCTGTTAGGTTTGTAGGCGCCAGTGCATCGCCGCTCCGCTTTGTGTTAAAGGCTCTAATATTTAATTTGGCGGAGTCAGCGTTATTCAACTCATAATTTTGAAATATTTGCACATCCTGTATGGATTATTCTTATTTTAATTGATGAAAAAAAATATGTATTAAAGGAAAATATAATGTGTGTTTCGTAAATATTAAGGTAGTTCCGTATCAAACTTAATGATTTCCAAAGCACACGAATTTCTACTTAATTTCTTATAGCCTTTTATAGCCAATGACGATAAAGTGTAAAGCCCGGCGATAGGAACTAAAGCCCGGCTGCATAATTATTTATCACTTCGTATAGCCCGGCTGTATGATTTTTTCCACATTCTACAGCCAGCTAAATGATTTTCTATAGCCTTCTTTAGCCGGCTATAAGAATTCCTATGGTATTTTGAAACGCAGCTCTTATCGCCAATTTTTACCAGGGATCTCTACAATTTTTAAAAGCGATCCCCTTTGAAATTTATGAGATTTTTTTTTAGAACATTTTATAGACTCAATTCTGCAGCAGTTCTGTGAGGAAATGCGGAATTTTTCGTGGTCTCATGTAGACTCGGCATTGATACATGTCTGATCGATCAAGTTCGTTGGAGGACTTCTGGGATAATGTTACGGTTTCTTTTCCTGCACAGAAAAAACAAGTTAGCGCTGAGCCCTAACATTTTAAGCAAAATAGTGTCAACTACAGGCAGTAGTGCTGAGCCCCACAGCTTTCGGATCCAGCCCTACAGACTGCAGGACTCAGCCCTACTGTCTGTAGTTGGCGCTGTTTCACCGAAAGCTTTAAGGTTTAGCGCTAAGTTGTTTTTTCCGTGTGTCCAGATCGAATAAATTTGGATCCTCGCCAGTCTCAATATACCTGCTTATCCTTGTGTGTCACGATGCAACTGTTGCACTAGTCAATCAACTTCATATTTTGAAACTTACTTGTTTTTCAGAAAATCCTACGTCCGGTCCAATCAGGAACTCGGCGAAAAACGGCTCTATGGGCCGAAATTCACGAGCCATCGCGAACGCGCACACAAGTAGGCAGATTTTCGTGTTGATTTCCATGACTGAGACTCAAAAATCCACCTAGAAAAGATAATGGTTTAGAAAATGAATGAATGAAGAACAATGGCATAATTTGCTCGACGCACTTTGTAACGTCGTCTCGGTCGGTGCGGAAAATTTTGTTCCTAAGATATCAAGGAACATGATTGAGCTGAGGTTATTCCAAGTTTTTGACCTTACTAAATACGCACATTTGTGAGTCTGTACGGCATGATTTTGTAACTCGTAAGTAATTTGAAAGAATGAAGTGAAATAGTCTAGTTTACGGCATGGGTAATTTTCTTATGAAAATTCCAAAAATTACTTTAAAAATCTTCTAAAATGTATTTAAAACAAAAAAAAGGTCACGTTTAATCTTTCCATGTCATCTAATAGCTCCCAACGGTTTAGCAATGTTTTAAAAAAAATAAAAACCTACTTTAACAAATTTTAAGAACCCTTCACCATAGCTTTTTCTTATAGTTTCATTTTTTTGTGATATATTTTAAATACATATTTTACGCTTCACTAATGTCTATTAAGTTTAATGTGCCAACAGTGCAGAATTTCGAAAGTTTAAATATTTCTTTGGTCGATCTCACACGTTATTATGATGAGATAATAATGCACATAAGCCCCGTAAGGTCCTCATTTAAAACGTTTTGAAAATAAGTTTAAGGCCAGTCGGTTCTGTATATCCCTACACATCGAAATTTATGTCCCTATATGCCCCGTTTTCGTAAGGTTCTACTGAATGGATTCTTAACAACTTTTTTTTTTTTGTTAGACAGGTCTAAATGTGTTCTTTCAATTGACATGTAATTATTTCGATTTTTCTTAAAATAAAATTTTGAGACATGTTTGAAATTTTCATTTTATTTTTAATGATTTTTCACTTCCAAGTCTTCTAAAAACTCTATTTTACAACATATCAGAACAATCATTTGTCAATTTAAAGAGGAGAAGAGCTGTCTATAGAAAAAAAGTTTTTGCAAATCCAATCAGTAGATCCTGAGAAAAAGGGGCAAAAGTGTTCAAGAACTAAACTTTTCAGTATCGCAAAATGAAAAAGAAGAAACTTTTCAAATGATTTTTTTTTTTTTTTGAACTGACCTTGCGCGACAAAAACAGCTGTAACTCATCCAATAATCACTGGACTTTAAAAAAACTAAAGCTTGAAATGATCCTGAGAATGTAATTTATTGGGATGAAAAACAGGAAATCGAATTTTTGAAAAAAAATTCAGGACCGACACTACCACACTTTAATCACCAAAGAGGCCACTTAAGCCACTTTATGACACTTTATCTACCAAATTAATTTTGAGGTCTCCTCCCTAACCCATTGTCAATATATTTCTGAAGACATTTTGATTGCTCTTATCAGTTTTGAGAGTGAAAAATTTAAAGAATAGATGTGGAAGGAACCCACTCACGATATAATTTGTGTATGTACACCTGAAGGACTAAAATAACAGTAATAACACTAAAATCGAGGAGCTAGATATAGTTTTTCCCTCTTGGAAAAGTACGGAACAAAATCAGACTCGCACACTTAAAAATTTCCCAAATTCTATTTTTCAAGCAAGATTAACCCGAAAAACAAAAATAAAATCAAGGTCGAAGGGCCGTTGCGCCTCTTCCTTGTTTCAACGTTGTTTTGTGTCTGATTCTCCAAAGTCTTCTGTGCCACCGTGTCGGTGATTACTTGGTCGCGTGCCGATGCCGTAAGATTACCGTTGTTTTCGTTCCAAGTTTGTTGCCAACTTTAGTTCCAGTTTTCATCCTTATGGACTGAGCAGACATACTAGTAGGAAGCACAGATATATAGGTATTTATTTTATTTTTGCGTATTTATCGCATACATTTTTAAGTATCATTCAGAGGCTGTTCTTGCACTTAGTCCCTAATCCCTGCAGGGTTTACGCCTGTATCAAAGTGACCCTCCAAGCGTGATCAAATAGGGAGAGAAGGATGGAAAAGTCTTTCTTTTTCCTCTTCTCGTTCTTTCCTTCTTCTTTTCATCTGTATTCCTATCTTCTCTGCTAGTTCCCCCTATTCGTTGTTATCTTCCTCTTTTCCTCATAGTTTTTCTGCTTCTTTATTGCTTCTGTTACTTCTGATTTCTATCAGTGCCGTGATGTGAATGATTGATTATCGATATTTCTCCATTTGAAGCTATGGTAAAGAATCGATTATCAAGGTGTTCGCTGCGAACACCCGATTTATCGGAAGCTCAGATACATAGGTATTTATTTTATTTTTGCGTATTTATCTCATACATTTTTAAGTATCATTCAGATAGGCTGTTCTTGCACTTAGTCCCTAATCCCTGCAGGGTTTTACGCCTGTATCAAAGTGACCCTCCAAGCGTGATCAAATAGGGAGGGAAGGAGTGAAAAGTCTTTCTTTTTCCTCCTCTCGTTCTTTCCTTCTTCTTTTCATCTGTATTCCTATCTTCTCTGCTAGTTCCCCCTATTCGTTGTTATCTTCCTCTTTTCCTCATAGTTTTTCTGCTTCTTTATTGCTTCTGTTACTTCTGATCTCTATCAGTGCCGTGGTGTGAATGATCGATTATCGATATTTCTCCATTTGAAGCGATGGTAAAGAATCAATTATCAAGGTGTTCGCTGCGAACACCCGATTTATCGATTCATATCCATAGGTTTAAATGGTAGATCAATCGATGTATCGCAACGCACGCCACGCCAATGATTTTTATGCTCATTGAATTTATGTTATAGACATCGTAGGACCCGGGGTTGATAGAATAGGCAGGTTTAAGGTGATTCGATGGACGCCATATTTTATGTCAGAACGACATGCGAGTTTGCAGTTATCATTTTTATCGATTTTGAGATCGCATTTTTGCTGTCACGAGACCTAAGGGATCCTTTTGACAAATTTGACAAACAAAAACGTAATAAAAGCATAGGGTTTTTTCAGAGGAAAAATGTCCCATTCGAATGCAGTCTCGATATCAGTATCGAATGCGACGTCTTCCCTCTAAATTAGCCCTGCCTTTATACGCTGAATTTATTTGTCAAATTTGGTTGGTGAATTCTTCAATCTTGTAGCAACAGGAATGCGATCTCGAAATTCGATAAAAATGAAAAATAGCTGAAAACATGGCAATAATCGATGGGATATTTCGCTTGTCTCTCTGAAACAAAATATTGAGTTCATCGAATCACCATAACTTCCTCTATGAACCGTTCGCCAAGTCGTCCTCCAAGCCCTCCTGTAGCCNGGGGGGGGGGGGGGGGGCTGCCCATGCCCCCCTGGGGCGTAACTTTCTTCATTAGCATCGAACTTGCTCGGATCGCTGCTGGTTCGTTCGTCTCTGTCGATCGCTGATTTGGACGTATTTACGCTAAAAGGAACTATGTCACGAACAATCCTTATGGTAATAGGTCAAAATGTCCAAAATAAAATGTCCAAAAGTCGGAATGTCCAAACCCTGAATGCCCAAAAATCTGAAAAGGCCAAATATCAGTAATGTCCACCGGAAAAATAAGTCCAAAAGTAGGTGAATGTCCAAATTAATGGAAAGAGTAAATATATACTGACTGATTTCAGACGTCTTCATCAGAATCAGTGTCAGCAGCACAAGTCGATCGCTCTCAGCAACGTCAATGTACAGGGTTATCCAAAAGTCACCTTCCACCCCTGTATCTTTTTTCCTAATTGAGATAGAAGTTTGAAACTTTGGCAATGTTCCTCGGTCATAAGTAGCAACTTTTTGGTCCAAAAAATCCAATGACAACTCAACCTATGCCTAATCTCACATTTGGACATTTGCCTACTTTTGGACTTATTTGTCTGCTGGACATTACTAATATTTGGCCTTTTTAAATTTTTGGGCATTCAGGGTTTGGACATTTTGACTTTTGGACATTTTGTTTTGGACATTTTGACCTATCACCATCCTTATACACATAGTTTCTTTTAGCATAAACACGTTCATTTACGATTCGCACCGTGAGGATTAATTGGTGGGCTAAACAGGCAGTGGATAAAGCTCAACTCGCAGACAGAGCTTGCGAGTAAAAGTTATGGGTACAGACCGCGTGAGGTCCCTTTGGGACCTACTCTTTGTATGACTCGAACCGCAAGATAAACGTTGAATGATAATTGAGGAGCTTTCCGGAAAGAGGGCAAATTGCAAAAAATAGCTCGTGAGAAAAATGCATCTTAAGTTTCCATCTTTACTTTCTGGTCACTAATGATAACTTACATCGCAGCTTGGACTTCCGATTCCGAACGTAAGTCACAGTCAGAGGCCATAGAATTATGATGGAAACTTCAAATGCATTTTTCTCAAACGCCATTTTTAGCTATGTGCCCTTTTTCCGGAAAGATCCTCCATTATTGCTTTAACAGAATGAGAACCTGATTACTTTATTTTAAAAATATTAATATCGACTTTTATGACCAAGAGAGGGCTGAAGTTTTTTTTAACGAAATATCGTATTGATTTATTTATCGACAAAATGTGGCATCGATATCTCCAAGAATCTTGATATGAACTTAAATAATTATTGATAAGGACGGCATGTCTGTTACGAGTGGAGCAGCGGCATGCTTTGCTATGTATCGATTGATCTGCCATTTAAATCTATGGAAAAGGATCGATAAAGAGGGTGTTGGCAACGAGCACCTAAATCGATTTTTTACCATAGCTTCAAATGGGGAAATATCGATAGTCGATCATTCACGTCTCATCAATGTTGCCGTTGCCCAACTCTCTTTTCGCGTCAGATTTTAAGCACATTATTAGCACTGATTCCAAAAATTACTTTTAGCTCTCCGCAACAATTCACTTATGCCCGGAAATATTGGAATTTACCCCCAAAAAATGATCTTCTCCGAGAATAATGATTCAGTGTTTGGAAAATTGGTGTATGATAGAAATACAAAGGTCATTTTTAAGTTAGCAAA